AGGATGATGATCGTATGACTTGTTATTAATAACGAGTAAAAGTTGTATGATGATGATTAGTAGGACTTGTTATTATATATGATGGTGCATGATGCGAGCATGAAGAGTTATTATATATCAGCGGGTGAAATGAACATGGATTGGATTGAAGTGAAGGCAACATGCATGTGGTGCATGTCGAAAATAGTATAATCCAAACTTGATCAAGTTAGGATTAGTATTACTTTTGACATGCACCACATGTTGCCTTCACTTCAATCTAAGCCATGTTTAGGCATATCAGTAGCGTTGGTAAACTAAGCACGGAGATATAAGAGTGGACACTTCTCTCTATTAGCTAGCTAATAACAACCTAAACTAACCCCCAAAACCCCTAAACCAGCCCCTTAAAAAAACAAAAACCTCAGCTCGCCTTTTGGTTTCGGTTGGTGTCACCAACCGGGACCAAAGTCCCCCCTGCCTGAGCTGGCCGCAGCGGCCACGTGAAGGCCCATCTGACCCGGTTCGTGTAAGAACCAGGACTAAAGGCCAAAGGCATTAGTAACGACCTTTTAGTCCCGATTCCAAAACCGGGACAGAAGGCCCTTACGAATCGGGACAAATGGCCCTTTTTTACTAGTGAGGTGTAAGAAGAGGAGGAATGCGTTACAAAGAAGAAGAATTGACAATACTGACAAGTCATCTTGAGGTTAGAATAAGTTTCTTTTGCATTGTCGTGATCCATGTTGGGTTGCTTTTCTTGATAAACAAGCATTGGGCTGCTTGGGCCTCACTCACTGCCTCAGTGTAGCAAGGCATATTGAACAGTGTGGACAGACCAACTATCTCTTCATGATCTTAAGTACACAACTTAAATACCAAAAAATGTATGAGCAAAAACTTGACTTTCTTCTTCTTGGCAGCTTTATCTATGAAAACGGTTTTTTAAAAAGCCTTGATGTTCCATTATGAATTATCCAAATAATGAGGATTAACATTTCTTTACTAGCTCCTCATTTATTTCGACATCTCATATATGAGTAAAAATGAAGAAGGGTTCGCGAACATCCACAAAATCCACAAAGCACTTTAACATATGACGTCAAACAATGTTACTCCCCCCGATCCATATTAATTGATGTTGCTTTAGTACAAGTTTGGTAGTACAAACTACCAATGTTTAACATGTGACCTCAAATTATGAGCTAGGAGAAGATATACAATGTCAACACATGTATTTATTTGCATTTATTTCCGCACGCGGTTGAAGAATTCAGTGAGATCAGGGTTCAAAATGGACTCGGCAAACGTGAAACCTGTTCGGACGATGTTCCTTGAATGTGTTTTCCTATTCTTTGCTTTGTGCAAATCATATCCCCGACCCCGAGCTGTAGTGCATATGTTTCCAGTGATTTTATTTGTAGTCTTGTGGTTGGATTCTTGCCAATTCCAACCATCTTTCACAAGGAATAAGATCGGTGCAACTGTTTCAAAAAACAATATGAAGCCAGGTATGTCCTAATTTAAGCTCCTTTGCATTTCATAAATGAATACAGATCACAACAAATTCATTAAGGATGCGTTTGGTTGAAGGTGTCGTATGAATGGGTTGGGACCATTCAATTTTTTTGGGATTGAACCATTCAATTCATGTATTTGACTGAATATAAGTGGTGAACTAATTATTTAGGACGGGACCACCAGTCATGCTCACATAGTCATGCATGCAAAGGGTGGCCATTTGATTCGACTGATTTGGTTGGGTGGAACGGTTCAGCATCTTCATGGCATATTCTCTTTTTTTGGCTCGAACCATTCATGTGCTTTATAACCAAACATGTCTATTTTCTGAACGATCCCAACCCATTCATGACCGCCCTTGCAACCAAACGCACCCTAACGCAGCCGACGAATGCAGGCAAAGAGAAATGGAAGACCCATGTGGCTATGTGCAGGATCCAATTGAAATTCTTATAACTAACCTATACGACCAAGAAGAGCACCGCCAAAAAAAGCTCTGAAGCAGCCTATCAAACCAAGAAGAGCAGCGCCAGAGTTAAGCAGCTGTTGGCTACGCGACATCAGTAGGAGATGTCGACGAGGGCGATCATGGCGTGCGCGGCGAGCTGCTCACGGGTGCGCCTCTGCGCGCCGCGGAGGGTGGAGTACCCCGGCTCCGGCAGCGGCACCGTCCGGCGGGCGGTGAGGTACGCTAGCAGCTCGGCGTCGTAGTGCGCCGCGGCGGCCCTGAGCGTGAGGCAGACACGCGGCAGGTGGCGGAGCAGCGGCAGCGTGATGTTTCACGGCCAGAGCAGGACCGAGAACTTGAACGCCTGCATGAACCCGCCGACCGCCGGCACGGCGAGGAGCACCACGTGCACCGCCATCGTCGATCGACCTCCAGATAACTCCTCCAGCCGCCTCGTGCTGCCCGCTACACGGCCGGTCCCTCCGCCCCTGCCATGGCGACGCTCTCGAGGTGGCGCTGCTAGCTAGCTGGTGGTGGTTAGTCACCACGGACCTGACCCGCCGGCCATTAACTAGGAATATTCCAGAGCGAAGAGCACTGGCTTGGAGTTGGATGAAACTAATAATGGCCGGCGATGGTGATCGAGGGTTGTTTTATCATGGAGCGGAATGGACTCAGTTCTACAGTGCGCACGTACTGCCACGACACAGCTCATGACAATGCGGCCTGCTGACATTGTCCGCGGCGAATTGAATCAGTTGAGGTGCGGCGACGAATTGGCCAGCGGCAGATCGACACATGTCCTCCGTGGGACACCGGCCGTCGCTGTAACTTCACACTGAGCCGCCGCGTATGCCTTCTCAGCGATTATTACATGCCCAGATGGTGTCCACAGAATACGTACGAAGGTAGGTGCTCCAGCCAGTTCTGCGGCGCTGTTAATTCTGTGGGAGCGCTGCTACACGTCCGATTCTGTAGATGGTTGTGTTCACAATCACAACTCGAACCAAAAGAAGAAAGTAGTATGTGGGCTGTAGCAAAACTAAAAGCAGAAAGTTGGTGTGTGGTCTAAAACTAAGCAGACTGGATTGGGCCGGGACATGTCGTGTCGGCATCCACCTGCCGGGCCCCAAACCCGGTGCCAGTTGGGAGCCTCTACTCCCTACTCCCTTTGTTCCAAATTACTTGTCACAAAAATTGATGTATCTACAATTAAAATACATCTGGATGCATTTATTTTTTGGACGAGTAATTCCGAATGAAGGGAGTAGATGCTAAGATCGAGTGACGAGCTCGGATATTTATCCGAGACCACAGCCCCACATCACCCACAAAATGATTTCAGCCCCACAGAGAAGCGTAATACGTAAGTACATCACTGCATTTGATTGTTTTCTTTCGGGAACGCTCTAAATTGATTGCGGATTTCGCTGTCCTGAACCCAATGATCCCGAGCATGGACACAGTCGCGTCCTGGCATATCTTTTGGTCCCTGAAAGGGGCACTGTTTTCGGCCTCTCTGCCTCCGAGGAGCCGCTCTTCCGCCGCCGCGCTGGCCCTTCGGCGGATCTTCGGCTGCCCGGCGTTCGATCCATGCATATCCATTGAATGTCGTGATGATCAGATGATCCGCTAGTTGGTTGCACGTAGGGTGCAAATATGCCTGTTTGTTCCCCCAATCATGCATGCAGAGATGGGATCAAGGCAGCGCTACCGTATATTGGATGTAGCAAATGAATCTAGTCCAATGAAGACACCAACTTCAACACTGCAGAATTCTCGCATGGAACGAAGATGGACAAAATTATTTTGTTTCAGACGGGACTGGTGCCCACCCTGATTGTTGTAACTGAAAACAAAGTGTCCCCTGCATTCTGTTGGGGCCAGGCAGAGGCGTTGGATCTGGAGGAAATGATTGCCGACGCTGATGCGGTCATGCCATTGACATGGCGTGCAAGCCAAGGACGACGCCACTGCATAATGCTGGACTCCACGTTACTCCCTCCGCATATTAGATTTGGGTCAAGTCAAACTTTACAAAGTTTAACTAAATATATATTAAAAAATATCAATATCTACCATACCAAATATATATCCCATGAAACCACATTTTGTAATGAATCTAACAAAATTAATTTAGCATCGTAAATGTTAATATTTTTTTTATAAATTCGGTCAAAGTAGAGATGCTTTGACTTCAGACAAAATTTATATGCAGATTAAAAAGGACTGGAGGGAGTACTTCCAAGTCTCTGTACACGCACAAATCTGATTATCTGCATATGGCTTTCAGAGGTGTCGTTTCCGCTGTTCAGCTATATGTAGTACTACAGGGCTCGCGCAAAAGCTAAAACTGTCGAGAAGGGATGACTGGTCGTGAAAGATGCCGTCAAAGATGGACAAATGCCCTTGTCGTTTAACAATCAGTAGTCGCATAATATCGGTTAAGAATGCTAACAACTCACGCCATCATGCTGGGTAGAAAAGTCATCAACAAGAGAAAATTCTTTTACTTTTAGCCGCCTTCACCGTGTCAGATAAGACACTATACTTTACCTAGTGCATGTACTTATCAGGTGCTCAGCAATGCACTTACTTAGCATGATGATCTCGACTGAATATTAGTTAACCAGAGAGTAGCTAGGATGAGTCGATAAGAAGATGACGTGAAGGCCTGGCACGTTGTGGCGCGTACGTTACGTACTCGGTATGATCTACGACGAAGCTTCCTCTGCTCTTGCCAATGCCATCCCGGTCAAAACAAATAAAACTACTCTGTTCTTGCCATGGAAAAATTCCTGAAGAAATAGTAACTCTAGTACCGTTGCATTGGAGATGCTGGAGCAATTGACCAAAGCGAATAATCACGACAGAATCCGTCGGTTTTACTACTAGAATTTACTCGTATCTACAGATTGAATGCTACTACAACTTGCAGCCAACATACACATATCACGGGACGCTCGGGAACACAATGATCGAACATGCAGTGCAGCCAGCAAACCTACAAATCATCAGAATGAAAAAGGAAAAACCGTCCTGCTCCGGCATCTCAGTACGCGGAGGCGTCGACGAGCGCCTGGCGGTGGAGCTCGCTGTCGTCGTCGTCGCGGCTTCGGGAGCCGCGGCGGGCGTAGGCGCGGCGCAGCCAGGCGACGTGGGCGGCGAGCGCGCTGCAGACGACGACGCAGACCTCCGGCAGGTTGCGCGGGAGGGGCAGCCAGAGGTTGAGCGGCCACAGCAGCGGCGCCGAGACCTGGAACACCTGCACGAACCCCTTGGCCGCCATGAACGCCAGCAGGTGGATCGCCATCGCCGCCGCCAACACAAGCTACCTCGACGAATCGTCGCTGGGTGTGTTGCTGTAGGCTGTAGCATGGAGGAAATGTGTTGGTTCAGAATGGTGCTGTGTCGCTGGCGCGGTGGCGTGCTTTTGCCGGTGGCGGGGTGGGGCGGGGCGGGAGGTTGCGGCCTTCCCCGGGTGCGAGCGGGAACCACCTTTTTATATTGTTTTTGTATAGTGGTGCCTTGGTAGGACCGACAGCTTGGCCAGATTTGGATAACAATTGTGACGAGCAACGTGACGCCTCGACGTGGCGATATCCGGCAAAAATCATATATTTGACCTGAGGGCGAAATCAAATCACAAAATGATCTGCTCTCGAAAAAATTTCACTCTGCTGACCCTTTCGTGTGGCGTCCGAAAGTTAGGCGCCACACACCACTGTGCAGCGCCTCTGCCTTAGGCGTCGCACCTCCTGCCAGCGTGGCAGCCCTGGTTGGGTTGCGGCCCCACAGACAGCAGTGCAGCGCCCAAAGGATAGGCGCCACACTGTGTAATGTGCAGCGCCTATGGCTTGGGCGCTGCACATTGACCTAAGCCGCATCGGGCCAGCCCCTCCCAGCAGTTCTTCCCCCTCTGAGCAGTTGCTCTGTTTACAGAGAGCGGCGGCAGCGGCGCTCCCTTAGGATCCCCCCACACCCCTCTCAGATCTGAAGTTTTGAGGCCCGGATTCGATCTCCAATCCCTCCTACTAGGTAAACTCCTCTGTTCCCTTTTTTTTTCTCCGTAAATGCGTTGCAATTTTAGGGATTTGCCCAAGATTAGGTGGAACCTTTGATTTGCTTGG